TACCAGTGAGCCCATGTCCCTTACTGGTGTGACTCTATTCTGGGGACCAGGGGATAGGGATATCCCACTATTACTCAAAAAAAAGGTCCGTGACACTGATTTTTGAGCTGAAGAAACACACAGTCCTGCGTTCCCCAGACACGTTTGAGCTGAACTAAACCCTCCCCGGCCTTTGCATGGCCCTATCAGGGAATCTTGAAATGAGAAGGGGGGGAAATTTCCCCCCAGCAGCTTGCTCTGAGCCAAGAACTGTGTCCTCCATGGTCCCACCATGTTTTTCCATGATCCCACCAGTGGGTTTTATTGCATCAGTAGCTTGGCCACCAAGGAAACTTGGTGTTAAGCTGCTCAAACTGAGCAACAGAGCCGGAGAGAGGACACTGGATCTGCACCGTGATGGGGTTAATGCTGCACTGCTGCAGGCTGGAGATGGGATGAAAGTGCTGAAAGCATGGGAGATGCTTTCTCCTGTCCTCTGGCACATGCTCAGCTGAGGCCATTTCTGCTCCGTGGAGCTTAAAGCCAAAATTGCTCCATGCCAGGTCCTGGTGACACCGAGGTGGCCCTTGTCCTCACCTAGGAGCCGTAGGTAATGCAATGGTCATGCCGCCATTTGGAGCTCATCTTGTCGAGGAGGTAACGGGTGCTCTCGCGAAACTTGCGTTGGGTGAAGTAGAAGAGGATGGGGTCGAGGACGCTGTTCATGCTGGCGAAGGGACGCGTGCACTTGTAGGCGATGGCAAACGCCTGGAGGTCTGGGCAGGGCAGGACAGGTGAGGAACGGACGATCAGGTAGATGGTCTTGGTGAGGTGGAAGGGGAAGAAACTAATGGAGAAGACAATGACCACGATGATGATCATACGTACGGCCTTGTCCTTCCTCTTGTGCACTGCCAAGCCAATCAGCTCATCCTTCTGGCACAGGATCCGGGCCATGTTGCAGTAGCAGGCGAGGATTGCCACGAAGGGCAGCAGGAAGCCGGTGACGGTGAGGGTGATGCCATAGGGGAAGTAGGCGGCGGAGCGATCCGGGGGGCTCAGGTCGTAGCAGACAGTCCGGTTCCTCTGGGTGCCGGTGGAAGCGAAGAGGAAGGTGGGCAGGCACTGGGCGATGACGATGAACCACACCGCAGCACACACCAGCCACGTCAGCTTCTTCCCCTTCTTCTTGTGCCACGAGGCCAAGGGGTGGCAGATGCCCAGGTACCGCTGGACGCTGATGCAGGTGAGGAAGAGGATGCTGCCGTGTAGGTTGGTGTAGAACTGAAAGCGGACAAATTTGCAGGTGAAGTCCCCGAAAGGCCAATAATCTTTCTGGGTGTAGTTGTAGATGAGGAGTGGGAGGGAGCAGACATAGAGCAGGTCAGCCATGGCCAGGTTCAGCATGTAGATCATGGTGCGGCTGAGCGCCTTCCGGGCCACCCAGATCTGCCCGATGACCACGGCGTTCAAGGGCAACCCCACTGTGAACACCACTGAGTAGACCAGGGGCAGCAGGATCTGCTTGAACTCCTCATGGAAGGTGCATGAGTTCCTCCCAGTGCCCATGAGGGCCGTCAAATTGGCCATGGTTGTGGCCCCCCACCCGTCAGTGTCCTCTCTGCTGGTGTGGCCCCTCAGAAGCACCTGCGAAGGACAAAGGGGATGGTTGGTGACTCAGCTGTGTGGTGTCACATCCACCCTAGAAGGGTGAGCCTGGCCTGGTGTGTGTGTGACCCCATAGCCCCATCCTTCTGGGTGGGGGCAGCCCCTGGTGTCCAGGCTGGGGGATGGAGGGAGGGAGAGCAGCCCCAAGGAGAAGGACTTGGGGGGCTGGGGGTGCAAACTGCCTGTGAGCCAGCACCGTGCGCTGGCAGCCCAGAAAGGCCCCGTGTGCTGGGCTGCACCCAGAGCAGGGGGGGCAGCAGGGCCAGGGGGGGATTCTCCCCCTCTGCTCCGCTCTGGGAGACCCCCCTGCAGGGCTGGGTCCAGCTCGGGGGCACCAACAGCAGAAGGACACGGACCTGCTCCAGCGGGGCCAGAGGAGCCACGGAGATGCTGGGGGGCTGGAGCCCCCCTGTGAGGACAGGCTGGGAGAGTTGGGGGGTTCAGCTGGAGAAGAGAAGCTCCGGGGAGACCTTAGAGCGGCCTCCCAGGGCTGAAAGGGGCTGCGGGAACGGGGGGAGGGACTCTGGATCAGGGAGTGTAGGTAAAGGATGAGTGGTAAAAGTTTTAAACTGTCAGAGGGGAGATCTAGATGAGATCTGAGGCAGAAATTGTTCCCTGTGAGGGGGTGAGGCCCTGGCACAGGCTGCCCAGAGAAGCTGTGGCTGCCCCCTCCCTGGAAGGGTTCAAGGCCAGGTTGGACGGGGCTTTGGGCAACCTGGGCTAGTGGAAGGTGGCCCTGCCCGGGGCAGGGGGGTTGGATTAGGTGACCTTTAAAAGTCCCCTCCATCCCTAACCAGTCTGTAATTCGATGATTCTAAACCACGGCGATGGCTTCAGGGGTCCGTCAGGAAGGTGAAAGGGGAGTCAGTGGGACCGTGCGGGGTGGTGGCACACGGGACAGCGTGGGCCATCATCACCGCCACCTCAACTCCGCTTCCTCTGACACTTACACCCCGTAGGAAGGTTTACACAGGGCCAAACCACCCTCCCCGCGGTGAGGGAGAGGAAATTGCGGTGCGGCGTGCTGTAGCCTCCGGCACGGCTTCCTCCTCCTCTGCAGGGGGTGCCAGAACCCTACAGCCCGTCACCCGAGCTTCGGGAGATGCCACCTGCACTGAGCCCAGCACGACCCACAGAGGTTTGGTGGTTACATTCATCCGGGAACCCAGGCTGGTGACAGTCTGGTCCCGGAGTTTCTCGGGTTGGCGGGCTAAGGGAGCCCATCCACGTGGCCTCCGGGCTGCTCTGAGTTGAGGAAGAGGCCATCCGCTTGTCTCAGAGGCTTTTCTCAGTGGTCCTACAGCACGAAGAGACCCCGGTCACGTCACTCGGCCGAACCCCTCGCTATGCCACCCATGGGTGCTCCACTCTCCGAGGCTGCAGCCGCCCAGACGTGGGCAGAGCTGCTTCTCCTTCCTCCTCTCGCTTCCTCCGTCCACACTTGCTCCCCCCTGCACGCCCCGGCGGGGACGAGCTTGCCTGGAAATGGGGTGGCCGGTGTCCCCACGGCAGTTGGGAAGGGAAACTGAGGCAGGGAGATGGGTGGCCAAGCTCTGGCAAAGTCCATGGGACAGAGGGGACTTGGGGGGAGCACACAAGTCCAGGGGCCACCCCCTCAGCTCGTACCACCGTGGTGGCCCCATTTCGGGTCTTTGGGGATTTACCAGGCTCAGAGCAGAGCTTGGCCATGGAAATCGGCTTGGGAAGAGTGTTGGGGACACGGACAAGGCTCCCCCATTTTTGGGGGTGCTCTGGACTTGTAGATCAATCTACCCCTGCTCTCCCTGCTGCCACATATCTCTCCTGGCATCCACTGAGTCCCCCTGCTCCCCACTGAGCCTCCCGCTCCCTGCGGAGCCTCTCTGGTACCCCAGTGAGCTCCCTTCACCCCACCGAGCCACTCTGGCATCCCACTGAGCCCCCTGCACCCCACTGAGTCCCTTGCACCCTGCTGAGCCCCCTGCACCCCGTTTAGCTCCCCCTGCAAAGTGCTGAGACTCTTTGGCACCCCAGTGAGCCTCTCTGGCATCCCACTGAGCCCCCTGCACCCTGTTGAGCCCTCCCCTGCACCCTACTGAGCCCCTCTGGCACCCCAGTGAGCCCCCCTGCACCCCGCTGAGCCCTCTGACACCCCACTGCACCCCACTGTCACCCCAGCTCCGGGCACCCCACATCTGCCACCTCTAAGCCAAGTAGCGCCCCCAGGGCTGTGAACCGCCTTATCCCCTGGGACCCCCCAAACCTCCCGTGAGCCCCAGGGGCAGCCCCCACCCTGGGCACCCACAGGAGCCTCTGCCACCCCACATGTGCTCACAGGAACCCCGCTGTGACCCTGGGGACAAGGTGGCCAGCAAGAGGCAAGCAAGGCCTTACCTGTTGGGGTGCCACGGGGTGCCGGGGTATGCCACAGGTTACTGGGACCCGCTGTTCTGCCCAGCACCCCGGAAAATCCGTGGCTTCTGGGGTGCTGTGCTGGCCCCATTGAGCAACGCTTCCCATTTCCACCCAACAGCAGCACCCCGAGGCGATGGGGAACAGAAACCTGGGTGGCACAGTGGGCACCGCGTGGCACGGCACGGCACGGCCCTGCATGACCGTGTGGGGATGGCGTGTCACAGCCCCGTCCCGGCTCCATGCATCCTCGTCCCCTACACACATAGGTGGACCCCCTATACACACACAAGCAGGCTGCCTACACGCACAGACATGCGTGTGCACGCTCCCATGGATGCGCTCTACACGTGTGCACAGACACCCCCCCTGTGCACCCACAGTGCACCCCAGAAAGAGCCGTACCCGGACACCAAGGGACATCCAGAGCCGGTAAATGCCACCGCGGCAGGGGATGTGGCCCAGACCTGGCTTGGGGATGCCAGGATGTGGCCAGTTGAGGCCATCAGCTGTGTCACTACATCCATGAATTTTTGGCTCTTTCCCACCATCTTGGGGTCCTTTCCCTCATTTGGGGTCTTCTCCCCCATTTTTGGCTCCTGCCAAGGCATCTGGGGACAGCTGAGGTCACCTGGCATGGTGACACCAAGAGGAGGAAGATGCTCCATTTGCCTTTTCCCCTCTTGCTGCAGAGACACAAGGGAAACTGAGGCACAAGCACTGGGTTTGGAGCACACCAATGTGGCTCATGCCCCATTTTAACAGATTTTTCTCCCCAAAACATCCCCTGGAAGGATGTTAGGGTGCTTGCAGTGGACTGCTAAATGACATGCCCAAGGCTACATAGGCCATCAGTGGCAGAAGGCACCCACAGCCGGTGCTGAGCCAAAAATATAATGAGCAGCTGAAGAAACAAGGGACGTTCCCCCTCTGTCAAAAAAAAAAAATGGCAAATGAGAAAAGAAACCTTTTTTGCAAGAGGGAAACCGGGCACTGAATCTCAATGCTGCTGGGCTGGGAGGGATAGGAAAGCTGGAGGAGAGGATAAAAAAAAAATCCCTCCTGATCGCAGGAAAAGCCCAGCTGGGGGATGTGCCAAGCACAACCTTTCTATCAGACACTGGAGAATCCCCATCCCCACTGTAACCACTGCCTGAAACTGCCTGTAACCTCATAAATTGCCGCTGTTTCTAATTAATGAAACCACATCAAGACACTCGGCCTCGTCCTGCTGCTGCACCCGTGGCATGTCCCTGGGTCATGATCTAGCCTGGCAGATTATCCAAAAAACTCCTTTTTTTTTTTTTTTTTTTTTTTTTTTTTTTTTTTTTT